TGGTTTCACTTCAGACAAAATTGAAAAGTATGTCAGCGGATTTTGTGACACAATTGACAAAGGTGATCTTAAAATAAAGATATGGAATCACATAAAATCTTCGTCGGACTTGTTAAGTTTATGTTACATCCCTGTGAACTGTTTCATAGTTTGCGTCACCCTGTCTGGGTGTCTCAGTGATGCTGGAAATATCACCGGTGCTCTTCCTACAACACTGACTGAATTTTACCAGACAGCCATAGATCACTTCGCCTTAAAGCATAACAGAAATGCAGACAAAACCTCTTCAAACGAAATGGCAATGAATCTTCAGAAATTGGCATTTCGTGGCGTGGAAAACGGGCAATTGGTTTTCAACAAACAACTATTCGATGAACAAATGAAAAAATCTGGTTTAGTGAACAGTTTATCTAATCCTATCTCCCCAATTCAAACACAGTTTTGCTTTATACACTTATCCATACAAGAATTTCTTGCTGCGAGACACCTGACGGAAACACTATCACCGAAAGAGATGAAGAAGTTTATTTCCACTCATATTGATAGTGGTAAGTGGCAATTAGTACTTCAGTTTATTGCTGGACTTTTACGCGAAAAAATAAAGATGTGTGGCAGTGATTACGATGATTGTGTTTTGGCTTTTACTAAATGCTTGACCTTAAATGATGGGGAAATTGACCTCGACGATCATGGTAATGTCCTTGTAATGAAGTGTTTAAGAGAACTTGATGATGAAGAAACTGCTAAAAATGCTTGCGCAAAAACGGATTTAAATCTTGTTACTAGAGTTACCTATAATGATTTTGGAGCTTCTTATTTTCTTTCCACAAGTGACTTGGAAGCCGTGACTTTTGTTTGCAAACATTTGAATAATTTGAAAGATTTAAAATTGAACAACGCAAAATCCGAAGATAGTTGGTTTCTTGAAATCGGTAAACTACTACAACATAGATGTTTAGAATGTCTGATGTTAGTCTTAAGTGGTAGTGACGTGTCAAAGAAACAGCTAACCAGCGCACTGATGAAATCAAAATGTACTTTGATCCACGAACACGCTATACTTAGTCGCCTTTATCTTCAGATTGGCATGACGGATGAATGTTTAACCGATGTATGTGCACTTATTAAAAACAGACATGCAAGTTATCTTGAGGTGGTCGATCTGAGTGTGAATCAATTAACATCTTCTGGAATATCCAAAATCTGTGAGGTTCTTAATGATGAACTTGGCAGAAAACTTAGATGTTTGAATTTTGGTCATAATGCCATTGGTGACGAAGGTGTGGGTATGATTTGCAACGCTCTAATACAAGGACAAAATTTTACGCTTAATAAGTTGTTTCTTGATTCCTGTTCATTAACAGAAGAATGCTTTCGTTACTTGTGCGAAGTTCTTTGTAACCAACATTGTAAACTGAGTGAACTGTCTCTGGCAGAAAATGCCATAGGTGATAAAGGTGTACTTGTGCTGTGTACCAATGCTCTAAGGGGAGAACATTGTGAGCTGATTATACTAACACTTGATTACTGTGGTTTAACAGATCAATGTGTACCATTTTTGTCCGAGACCTTGCAACACCGAAACTGCAAGCTTGCTATACTTGGACTATCTGGAAATAACTTTACTGAAGAAGGCAAGAACTTGCTTTGTGATGTGCAGAAAACCGAAATTTGTGAAGCTAAAGGTTTAGGTATTTATGGTCTAATTTAGAAATTAGTCTTTGGTAATAACATAATTAATAGAAGAGATGTTTGGAAACTCATTAGAATAACAATATAATCATCTATGTTAGTGCGTATATTGTATTTTGGCCAAATCCACTAATAACAATTTTTAAGGTACACAACTGCTAAAGTCACTTTCCTAAAACATTGCTATTGGTTGGTTGGGCAAAAACACAATACCCACGTGACAATGAAGGGCCACATTTCTGAACAAACCTAAACAAAAACATGGATAATAAGTTATATTGTAGCCTAATTCTAATGAGTTTCCAAACCATCTCTTCTATTAACTATGGTAATAACAACCTCGTGATGGTGCTAAAAACTCCAGCTTAAAATAAATTCTAATATATGTTTTCAAAGTATAAAACTTTTGTTGTACATCTAGCTAATGCTAAGTTAAGTTTGTTCTATTCTATGCTTTTCCTAACAAAAACAATAGGTATGTGAAATGAATAGTAACGTTATAAACATGTTTTGTCTATTTCTTACCCAGAATGCGCTTCAAATTTGTGACACAGGCCACCCCTCCATTACTTCTCTCAACTTTTGCCAATCCCTCACTGTGCAGGTCAAATAGATCGTGGACAAACTGAATATCCCTTTTGTGATCCCCCATTACCACTACGTGATCCACAAGTTTTCTGATCTGGCCCTCAAGGTACTCCTTGCGCTTGACGATAGCCTTTAGTGTGATGTAATGCGGTTGGCTGCATGTACTGTGGGCGTCTGGCTCGCTCACTCCGCTATCACTGGAAACCTCATCTATATAATAAAGTTTTGGTGCGTTAGCTAGCGTAAAAAATGCCAGTTTACGATTTCTGGTGCTATTTTCTTCTGGTTCATGTGAACGAGTGGATGAGTTATGAATGTTTTGAGTGTATGTACCTTATCTGAACATTCATGGTTTATCTAGCCGTTCACATCCATCAGAAGAAAACAAAATCCCAGAGCAAAAATGAACGTAAATGGGCGTTAAAGTTGTTAAAATGGCGTTTCCTGGGTTCTAGCTGGGAGACCATAGAGATTATAAATAACACTAGAGGAGGCATCGAGTTTAAAAATTGGGAACGCAGCTAATGGGGGGCAAATTCAAGTCCCGGATATAAAATCGTGCTCTCATTGGCTGATTTGAAACTCGTCACCAATGGGA